ACGCCGACGCGCGCGCGCACACACACACACACACACACACACACACACACACACACACACACACACACACACACACACACACACACGTGATTGTACTGTATTTAACTGTAAATGTATTTAATTTTATTGTGCATTTTTTATCTGCACAATCAGCTGTTCTGTTATTTTGAATGTAGTGGATTTCATTTCACTGTAAATGTATTTCTTTGCCATTTGTTTTTGTCGTTGACGTTGTTTAGAATTGCACTACATTAGGTGTTGAGGGTGTTCCTAATACTTTGGCTGCATGAAGGGGCCTCTCTTAGTCTGATGCCGTGCAGTGGTAATAATTGTATAGTTGTAATAATAAACGATTCAATTGAACATTGTATTTTTGGCAAGGGTATTTTTTTTTGTACTGCTCTTGTATCACAGCATGTACCGAATGTTCGTGTCTATGACTTAATGGCTAGCCCCAAACAAAAAGTAGAGTGTGACTCAACACTACCATTTTGTGATTAGAAGCTGGCCTCGTCAAGGCTGGACTTTTTCTTTTTTAAATATTAATACATTGGATTATTGCCAGCAGCCCGACAAGTGGGAGTCAGCTCACATCTTGAATGCCGGCCACAAATTAGGCCGCCCACAGCATGTCTGCTCCTGGCTTCTCCTCACTGCTAATAAGTGCACACAAGCACATCTGGCCTAAGAAAAGTGCTTACTCGTCAAACATAATAAGAAGAATGACAAGAAAACAAAGCTGCTCGGTCAAGCTCTTGCTGCAACTCCAAGTTGAAGTTAGCTACAAAACTGACACAAAAAAAAAAGAATGAAGAATTGTACTATATATTTAATTGCAAAATGTTCAACCATGTTTTTGTCACGCTGAATCAATTCAATGCTGCTCCTTCTGCTACGACCACCTGGGGAGTATGTAGCTGGGCAGTATAAGAAAGATAAATAAACACTGTTCACCGAGATCACTCAACTCCTCCCTGAGCTCATTGGTACGGCACTAATATTAGTCATGCTACACAGTGGTTAAAAAGTAGATGACTTTAAGTACTGTTATCTTGTTTGTCATTACACCGAGTGTGTTCAATCCGTGGCTCAAGGGGTTGAAGTGGCGCAACATAGGTAGCTATTTAGCATTAGCATCAGGCCATCAGACTAAAAGACGAAGCTATGTGGTTGTTTCAAATCAACGAGTTGTAAAGTTTCATTGTCTTTTGTTTTGTGTGTCAAGTTTTACACTAATTATCAAGCGGGCATGACAAAGAAACAGTTTGAAGCAAGCACTCTAGGACTCTTTGTATGTGTGGAACGGACAAAACTATCGTTTAAAAAAATGATATGGTCTCTCTATACGGTGGATTGCGAGTGGTATCCCATCATCCATATCCAATGCCGTTATCCGATTTATGACTCAGCACTTTTTGTGAGTCTTTCTAGCTCTCGGTTCACTCTCCTCTCCTCTCCTCTTCTTCTTCTTCCCTTAAGAGCCTATTTTTAGCTCCCACTCGACGTCTTATCGGCCTACATATTTGCATCTTACATGTGCACTGTTCCGCGCGCGGCGGACATCTTGCGTGTGAAGCGATGAGTGGCGTGGAGGCGATGACGAGCATCCAGAGCCTCACGGCTGATTGACTGGCGAATCACTCCTCCCACCACATGCGGTCCTGTGAGACATTCCCTGATGCTCGGAGGAAGGAGAGCTCCCAAGGTTATATATGTGGCAAGACACAGAAGGGGTGGGGGGGGGGGTGGCAAGCTATGTGCGCGCACACAGACACACACACACACACACACACACACACACACACACACACACACACACACACACACACACACACACACACACACACAGACTTACTGTCTCCTTGACAAAGCTTGAGGGCTGTTGATTGTCAGATTTCCATTTAAAGTGCGACACACATGTGACGGCACCAGATGAGAGGTCATCGGGTGGCGTCACAAGAGCCAGATGAGTGACACGCAAGGACACACGTGTGGCCATGAATGCATCACGCCCAATAGGCCTTTTCATTTTTGCTGTCTTACTCTAATCATGAGCGTGTCATTCATTTGAGTTGGCTCATTCTCCCGGCTGTATTCTAAAATGCACTCATATTCATTTATCGTGGTATTAATTTATTATTTGTTTGATTTTTGTCTTTGTATTTACACATCTGACACCCCTTCAAGACTTATCTCATTTAAAATATTTGTTGTAAGATATAAAGGAATGGAAAAGTACATGAAATACATGACAAAACGACGTCAATTTCTTTGATGATTGAGTTATTGTTTTTAACCTCATTTTCAAGACTTAGAACTGCTTGACTCTAAACATGACATTTGTTTATGCACGACTGAACTTGAAAAAGGTGTTTACTTAATTATTAGAATTAAAACATTTCATTTTCTCTCCTTTGATTTTTTAAATATAGATGTATGATATTTCAAATACTTTTTTGTCTTACCACATCTAAAATATTTATTTTACATTTTATTATAAAAAAATATACATGAATTTTGAACCTTTTAAAATTTATTTTAGAAATCCATAATAGTAACAATGATTTTTATACTGATCACTGTTTAGGAACTTTTTTTGCACTTTCCAAACCAAAAATAATTACACTTAATTTTAAGATTGTCCATATTTAATGTTCCCCAACATTTCCTGACCTTTCAGGCACTGCCCCCCCACCCCCTCAGTATTAAAGAGCAAAGTAGCACATGTTGTAATTTCTGTGTCTGCTCTGCAGATCACCCACAATGCAACAGTGCAAGTCTGTGGCATCCAGCTGTTCACATGGGCTGTATTAGCCACATTATTGTGCCCGGGGACGTGCTCAGTGGCTGAGCTCAATTAGGATTAAGTTGTGGCATATTAAAATAGACCTGCGGAGTCGGGCACCAATGTCAAACGGTTAATCTCGATCTGCGTGCCACAGAATCAGGACGAGTTTTATAATTACAAGGGAGGCTATTTTGCCCTTGGAATATTTCCTGTGTGGACATGCGGGCTTCTAATAATAATCCAATGACAGCCAAAGGAAATCAGAAATTGAAGCAGTGCAACGGCATCCCACTTCAATCCTCAGCTCGAACTACTTGGCAAGCCAGCAATATTTATTGGGCATGTTTCATATACAAGGTAGCTCAACGTGCTTCACAGTGTTGAAAATACAACTCACATCCAAAGGCATTTACGAAACAGGGAATAAAAAGTCATCTTTACATGTAGCGCAAGAACAAGATTTGGGAGAAATTGACTATCGAAATGCTTGACAAGACCTTAATCATATCACTATACTTACCCTGATAACTAAACAACCAGTCTACCTTCCATCCACCTATTTTTAGCCTTCGCCTTGCCTACCTATCTACCAACCGACCCAACTTATGATACAAACATTTCATGTACGTGCTGACATACTTTATACAAACCACTGATTCAAATAATTCCCTTGTAAACAACTACGTTCATGACCTACCGATTTACATAACCATCCAAACAACTCACCTGCCTACTTGGCCAAGCAAGGAAACGCCTAGCAACAGTAGCTGCTCTCATGCACCAACAACACTCAAGGACAGAACAATTCCAGATTTTTCACTGAATACGGAATCGAACCCTGCACCTCTGCACTGTGAGCCCGACGTGCTAACCAGTCGAACACCGTGCCGCCTTGCGCCAAACATATGCCAGCGATTGCTGTGACGACCTCTGACAGGAGAAAGTAAGCGCCATCTTCGAAAATGTTCGTCATAAAACGAGTATTATTTTGGCGTATAGCTATACTGGTAACCTGATCATCCATTTCTTGGTAGCTTTAACTCATCAGTATGGGTAGTTGTTCTTATTCAACCTTGTTGGATCAAAGTCTTGATCCAACGTGCTGGATCTAATCCACAACCTAGTGCACTTCGTATAAATAACCCAACATTGGCTCGATCCCTGTTTGGACAAGGCGCTGGGTAAGCAATTTGGGTTACGTACTTTGAACCCAGCAGTTTTAATAGTGTATGATTAGATGTGGGTTTCACAGCTCTAACGGGTATTCTAAACAACAGTGGCTGTATAAGCAGGAACGCCTCATTAAAGTGCAAACATGAACGAGGAATTCAAGATTTGTGTACTCTAAAAAGAAGACGGAGGCCATTAACCAGTGATTTTTTTTTCCTCTTCCCATTTCACTGTGTTGTTATAAGCATTTCCAGTGTGTGCGTGTGTGTGTGTGAGTGTGTATATACGAATGAGTCGACATGTTTGCACTTGTGCCCAGAAACGTGATACAGGATTAAAATGAAAGGAGTGCCATTGACGACAATGATGATGATGATGATAATGATGATGGTGGTAGTGGTGAAGAAAGAAGCAAGCCAATCAAATAAAAACAAAACCAAACAAAACGTCCCGTGTCAGATAAACGTAGATATCAAAATGAGTGTTGACTGCCAACGGACATCTGGATGATTGTGTTTTAGTGTGTTTGGTCTGGGTCAGAAAGGAAACACTAAAAGGGAGCCACAAAGCAGCTATACAACAAGGCAACTCGAGCTTTTGTCATCAAATATTCATCATTTCAAACCCTCCGGCAATGTTACTGCACACAGAAAACATACGTACTGGGACCCAAAAAAAAAAAAAAGTCAAATAAACATATATTACAGTAAAATGTATGTGAACATTTTTTTTCTAAAGTGTACTGTGTATAGGATGAGGAAAAATATGAAAATAAGATTTTGTTGGACAGTGATGCTGTGTAAGGTGTATGTATATATATATATATGTATATATATATATATATATATATATATAAGACAAAGAACAACTTTTGGGGAGGTTTTTTTCCCCCTCACCTTGAGATCCTGACATTATACTGCATACAGGTACTCATTTACAATATGATCACAATCAGTGTTGTATTTTGCTGCCCCTTCTCGTGATTGGATCTTTTGATCCAACCTTTCATTCCTTTCCTAACACACACTCTTCCTCCCGCCCGAGTGCGAGGGCGTTTTCTCCAAAGCATCACTCACCACGTCGCTGGCGTTCATCCCGACATCTTCCTCTTGTTCTCCTCTCGCACATGGTATTCTTCTGGCCTGGTGTTTGCACAAATAGCGTACACGTGATGAACCAGGGAGTAGAGAAAAAAAAATACAAAGAGGTTAGCTTGTTTGAGGGTATCAAATTAATGGCCAAGTCACAATGTCACACACGCTACTGTTAGCTTACCCCACACAATAAAACATGCTAATGGAAGGTTAGTGAAATACAGTATTTGATGCTAATAACCACCATTTGTTCATAACGGATTGGGACTGTGATTCTTATTTTTCAGCTTCACTGTACCGTGATACACATTCAGCCCAGGTCACAGATACAGGACTCCAGAACTTGACAATAGCAACCCCAACTAGACAAAAATAATACCTGCATCTCACATGCATATTGTATTAGTATTATGCATAAAGCTCCAGAAAACAGTCAATAAATCATGAAATATATCATTGCTACTCTTTGTCTCTCGCAGTGACAGTCTGGAACGTAACACCCACTACAACTGGATGGATTGCTGTACCGGTGTATCTGACATAGCAAAGCCATATTGAGTAGTCACCCTAAAACATTCCACCGAGTTCTGATAAAACTGCTACTGAACCAATCACAACTTTGTAGTTCTTGAAATAGACATTCAAGGTCATTGCCGAGGTCCTGGGCCTTATCAGGCTCAGGCAGGCCTGTACTTAGAAATGTAAGTGTGTGTGTGTGTGTGTGTGTGTGTGTGTGTGTGTGTGTGTGTGTGTACTCACCAACCAAGCCAACAGCACGCAGCCAAACATGCTCATCATGGTCATACACATGATGATGGAACCATCATGTGTGCTTCCGCATAGTTGTTTGTTTGTCCAGTGGCGGTGACCCACTAATTCTTCAAGCACCTACTTTTCAGGAAGTCTTTCCATCTTCCGTTGTGTCCAGCGCAGTTCTCTCAATCCTTTCATCGTCTTCTCTTCTATCGCTATTTTTAACCGGCTTAGCAGTGCAGAAGCGAGCGGATGTTTATTCTCAGCCTTCGACGGTTACCTGCCTCGCAAATCAGTCGGTTAATCTCGTCATGCAGGAGAATGTCCTTGCTTGACATATCGGTAGATTAAAAAAAAAAAAAAAAAAAAAGAAAAAAAATGAAATCTTTAAGCAGTGTTGAATGGGCCTTGCTTTTTCATCGTGACTCTACCAAATATTGACACCATGCTTTGGCCACAGTAAGATGAGCAATTTAGCACCCATCTGTGTATGTCACCTGGTTCCAATCAGAGCTCATTTACTCAAATGCTAATTGGTAAGTTTGTCAATGTATGAGCCTTGGAATGTGCAACAAATGGCTACTGTAAAGCAAAATGGCCAACATCTGCTCAATGTTGGGCTTGGGTCCTTGAGATTTTTTTTTTTGTACCCTCTGTTATGAGAGATGGGTCCACCTAATATTGTGTTAAACAGTCAACAGTGAAACTATAGTGTCGGTCTCTCAGATGCTGAGTGCAGTGGAATGAAATGGAGCAAATAAGGGACTGTAATACCCTGGCATGTGGGAAAAGAGAGCCACAGTTGCCGATAAACTTTCAGCCATTTTTCGAATGGGACAAACAGTCACACACACACACACACACACACACACACACACACACACACACACACACACACACACACACACACACACACACACACACACACACACACACACAAATACAAAATGACAACACTCAAAAGGAGCTGCTTTAGGCCACAACTCACACCCAGACACTCCCATCCACGTACTTGGCCTTAAAGGCACACATCCAACACAATACTACAGTACATTGAGTAATTATTTTATGAAACTGGTTTATTTTATTATTTGGTCATGTTTAATGGTGTTTGTACATTCAATACAGCGCTATTTACCTGTGAATTTTTTGGTTTGTTTCTGGGGGGGCTTATCGTTTTGTAGGTGTACACGTGACCAAGAACATTTGCAAGACGTTGAGGAGAGTGCTTTTTGGTGCAGTCAGTCTCCATGCAGGAAATGAATCACGATGGTCTAAAAATGGCAGTTTTTCATGTCACCGGAGGATGTGCAGCTTAAGATAGAAACAGATGAGTCAGACAAGACTGACGTGTTTTTCATTAGATCGCAACCATGAGTAAAATCCGTTAATAAAGACCTCTGATGTTCTTTTGTGATTTAAAGAAGAAAACAACACCTATCGTTATTTCTTCCGTGTTAGTTTATTTTTTTTTATAGTCAAGAACAAACCTCAAAGCCTCGTGTTTTAGATCTACACTGCCATCGCCCGGAGGATTGGTAGAATTACACCTCCGTCTAAAATGATTTGCAGCATGAGAAAACATTTTTATGATTTGGACTTACACACCACCGCAGCTAATTTCAAATAAAACATTGGGACATTTACAGCAAAATAAAAACAACAACAACAAAACAATATGTTATCCAAATATATGCCATGTAATATTTAAGAACGACAGCTAGCTCACACAAGATAATGAATCCCCTAAAACCAGACAGCGTCAAATTACTGATCGAACTTTCTTTGACAGTAAAGACCTGGTAAAGAACAAGTTATCTTAAGATTGCCACCCGTCCCGTGAAATACGGAATCGTCCTTTAATTGAGAATCAAATGTTGCTTCCGGTATTGAAGTACTGTACTGTAATACGGGGCGTGGTTTGTACCGTATTTTTGTAATTGTCCCATGAGTCTGTCACACACACACGCACACGCACACAGCGCGCGCGGTCATTGAATTTACCAACAGTAAGCAAAATAAAAGACATCAAATATTAAAACATTGCAAATTTTCCCTTTTTTTTCATTTTCTCATTTAGGTTCACACAAGTGTTTAATGTTATTCTTGTTCTTTGTATTATAGTTAGTTTTATAACAGTAAAAGTGTCCCCAGACAGGCTTTGTGACAGCTGTTACAACACTCTAGTCTACAGTATATGCATGTAATACAGTATGCTGAAGTTCGGCGAGTTCAGTCTATTCAGCCTTGAACATGTATACACACAGGTTGACAAACGTTTAGTTTTTTCCTTCTTCTTAAATTAATGGTGTCCCCAGTTGTTACATTTACAGAACTTTATGGGCTATTTAATTTAAGTATTGTCCTCTTTCAGTAGAAGTGTCCCCAGACAGGCTTTGTGACAGCTGTTACAACACTCTAGTCTACAGTATATGCATGTAATCCAGTATGCTGAAGTTCGGCGAGTTCAGTCTATTCAGCCTTGAACATGTATACACACAGGTTGACAAACGTTTAGTTTTTTCCTTCTTCTTAAATTAATGGTGTCCCCAGTTGTTACATTTACAGAACTTTATGGGCTATTTAATTTAAGTATTGTCCTCTTTCAGTAGAAGTGTCCCCAGACAAACTTTGTTTAATTTACAGCACTTTATATGTATACAATACAGTAGGCCAGGTCGATATGCTCAAATTCAGATGATTAAGTGTTTGCTAATTGTTAAACGTGTGAAAGTCTTTAATTGAGAGGACTTTTTAACAGCCTATAAATTATGCTGAGGTTCAGGCTACATGAGTCTAGAAAAAAAATGTTGATTGCTAATAAAGCACTTTAAACGTCAAGTACGTCTAAATGCTTCCTTGATTTCTCCTTCCTTACTGAGCACCAAGTGACCCCAGGTCCCAGAGGTACATTCCAGAAGGCGTCTCTTTTCCAACCCAATAGTGGTGCAACTGTAACCCAAAATGGCTCAAATGCAGAGCCAACAGCCTGTCCCAATTGCTGTCTTCGGAAATCAACGCATTTTGTTTCCTTTTGTGGATGGGGCATCTCTTGCTCAAACTGACTCAACCGTTTCACTACGAAATTGACCTAGCCATTTTAAGGGTGGAAACATCAAATGCCCTCGTAATATAAAGCTTAACTTAAAGCGTAATTTAAATGCGCCAGGGCGGTAAATAAAGGAAAATATTTCGGGACAAAAAAAACATGGCACAGTGTTTTAAAAAAAACTAAAACATTTATTGAATCGACATAAACTCTGGATCAATCAATAAGAGATTTTTCTTAAAAATAAATGATGATTTCACAACATTATCAACACATGCACTAAAAATACTACAAAGAGCGGGTGACGGGGGACTTTAAAATGATTGACCCGTTTAGTGAGAGTCGCGGGCTTTGTTAACTTGAGAGGGAACTAATCCTTCATTACAGAGGTGGAGATTGTGTCAGATTTCAATGCCGTAATCCTGATTTACCCTGTCGTCCGTGTCATTATAACGGTAGTTAAACGAAAGTACTAAAAAAAAAATTTTAAAAAACTAACATGAATCCGTTATAAAATCTACAGTTGAAAATCCCCAACATTCGCCTGAAAAACTTGATTTTGTACTTTTGCTGGCTCAAAATGCTGACATTGACAACAACAACAAAATTTTTCAGAAAGTTCACATTCTCAACTCACAAACACACACACATTTTTGTACAGTGGCACATCTGCTTACACGTACATGCCAGAAGACACAAAGCTGTCCCCACGGCTGACGTCAGTAGCCTGACGGTACTCTTGGGACTCGTTCCCGCTGCGCTTGTAGAATGGCGGCGCTTCGCCGTTGCCGGGGTCATCCCACCCGGAGGGCGCGGCAGCGTAGTAGTGCACCCGCGCCCCCTCGCCGCCGCCGTTGTCGTCGACCTCGTTGTCATTAGAAGCATCCAGGTCCTGTGAGGGACATTGACACATATATTTTTGCAGGGGTAAAAAGCAGGATTCAAGAGGATGTGACATTTAATAATCTTTTGCAAAAACGAGGGTGCGCTTTCGCTTTTCATTCTTTATCTTTCTCTGTCAAAGTTACACCATGGGAAATTATAGTGTGCCACTATCTACTGGTAAACAGTGAAAATACACCCCAAAAAAACGGGACGCAAAACAAAATGGTTATAAATTGCAAACATGCAAAAGAAAAAAGAAATAAGCAAAATAGCGAGACCATGAAGCAGGGACATGCAATGAAGGCGGATGAGGGCTGCAGCCATTAAAAATGTTGGCCATGGAATATCTTACTGAAAATTCGATCGATTTAGTGGCGTAATGGCATATAAATTAAAAAAAAAAAAAAGACTTTCTTTTGCTTGGGGAAAGAAGAATTATGAACACAGAAGAGAAAATAAAATTATACATAGCAATGAGCGACCAACTGGTTTTCATGTTGAGGTAGTCAACATTTCGGAGCAAAGTATTTCTTCTCTCGAAATATTTTGCCAGCTCCAAAAGCACATTTGAGTAAACCTGTTTGGTTAATAATGGATCAGGAGGAACTGCGACGGTGTCAGGCTTTTGGCATCCGAGTGTGCAGAGTCTTGGAGTTGTTGGCTTGCGTGTGTTATTCTCACTGTGACTGGCTCTGCATCCTGAGTTCTGTAGTGTTGGTCATGTAGGAGGCGCTCCTCGGCAGCGGGGGCGTTATTGGTGGTCACCTGCCGCACACACACACACACACACACACACACACACACACACACACACACACACACACACAGTCACTTTTGAAACAAATGACAACACAATGCTCCTCCATCTCATTTTCATTGAATTACATTTCCATGTGTTACACTCATTAGAATCCCTCGAGGGGACATGCAACAAAGACTCACTGGACGAATAGCGGTGTTGTTTTTCTTCTTGGGCGGCGGGGGCTTGTGCTTGGGCGGGCCGCTGCAAAACACAGACAGTGTTTTTTATTTTTATTTTTTATTTTTTTCTCCCCCAAGCGGCTCACAAAAAGTGGGAGCGAGGCATGACACCCAACACTCACTCTCCGTTGAGTTTGCCGGCGCGATGTTTGCGGTACATGGCGACGGCCGTGCCGATGATGGCCACGATGAGGATGACGCCGATGATGGCGCCGATGATGCTGCCCGTGGTGGCACCTTTCTCGGGAAGGCGGGTGCCTGAGGAAGAACAGAGAATCGTTCATTCAGCTCCTTTTTAATTACAGTCATAGCTTGATTTACGAATTTCTTTCCCCCTTGAAATCATGGTCATGCCGTTTTTTTTTTTTTTTTTAAATCATGAAAAATAGCACCCTGTATTATTTTATAAAAACATAGTGTAATAATTAAATAGAATGTACAGAATTGAACAGTTTGTGCATAATTATTGAAATTTACTTTGTTGGAATAAAACCACAGCCTCGTTTTCAGTGCACAGGTCCACGACGCTATGGTAATATCTTGTTGGTCATGATGGTAGCACTTGAGAGCCAAATATTTTTTGAGGTGGTATTGGCGTAGAAAGATGGAGGATCAAGTGATGCAAGATAAAGAATATATGCCTGTGATTATCGATACAGTATGCGATCCATCTACCTGTGTTTCTCCACCGTTTGTGTGCAAGTGAACCGCGACTGATGCTAACTATGAGCATGTCAATGCCGTTTTCCGTTCCAGCATTCGCTTTAAGCAAGCGGGCCGTCCTTAAGGCAGTGTTATTAGGTTGTTTTAAGTACACAAGGTGCAATTCTCTTCGTTTTATGCTCGGCAACTCTAATTAAACAGCCTTAAGCCTCATTTATTTAGATGAATTGTTCACTAATTGCCAAAGTGCTGCTTGTTGTTAAGTAAGCCATTTACACACGCTTATGAACTATCAAATGTCATTACAAGCCTAGTTCTCAAGAATCGCTTCATAAGGGTGCCCTTATTAAAAAAAAAAAAAAGTCGATCGTAAGGACTCAGCCTGCATTTGGTTCCACTAAAAGTACAAGTGTTCTCACCCCCACACACACAGACAGACATGCAATGAATATCGACGTTGACAGAGTGATGTCATTAGGCGGCATTCTTCCCTGGGGGATTATGCAAATGAGGAAGCGATTAAAGGGCAGAGAAGACTTGATGATGACTTGACGGGTGCAAACTGTGTTCCTGCTAATTGGATAGGACATGGTTTCGACTTTTTGTGCTTGTCTAATTTCCTTTCTCTTCTTACCATACACGTCTTCTACTCATGGCATTTTTTTTGCACACATTCAGAAGTGTCTTCAGGTGCTTTGCTCCTAAAATACTAGATTTGTGGACTTCAATGATTCAATGAGCAGAAAACCATTTTGTTCGGTCTCATTGACTGTCATGCAAAACACATATTTACATATCTTGGTGGGGAAAAACAACATCACGTGTGCTTTCATACTGTATCATCAGAAGCATATCTCCAATGTCTCCATTGTGAGACTGACAGGCTTAATCAATTCAGTTAAATGCATAATATTATGCAGCATAGAACAAATGTCATTTATTTATTTACACCTTAGATCGAAGAATACTGACGACTACACTAAATATGATGTTGATAAACCACATTCGTTGTCAAAATTTAAGAAGATATTAACGGCAACGTAATCTAATTTAGTAAAAAAAATGTATTTCTTCATAATAACAAAAAAGAAAATGCAATTAATGGCCTTTCTTTAAAAATCGGATTTATGAAATGGTGAAAAGTAAAAGTACCACCTCTTATTACATATACTAATACTGTATACAAAGAGTGAAAATAAAATAAAATAAAATAAATGATTAAAAAGATACATGATCCTTCTGTCTTAAGTGTCTGTCGGTCTATGTTTCAATTGAAAAGATTTGTATTTTGCATTGTAAGGGCAAAAGTTGTGTTGGAAAACAATTATTTCAACGAAGCGGTGTTTTTGTTGAATCGAAGTATTCTGGCTGCCTGAGCGTTTTCCCCGCCAACTTCAAATGACGTCATCGAATGTAGTGTCAGCCACCGTCCACATGGCGGTGCTGTGCCTCCTTAAAATACAGCCCAATCGCTCACTGTGAAGGGTTTGCTTTTGGATTTCACTGTGATTGCGCCTCATTGCAACAATTGCCTTTTTTCACCCCCATACGGAAAACCACCATCCACCATTTTGGCTCCTGATATGCTTTTCACCCATTTTGAACCGACTTTGTGGCCGGCTCTTTATCTCAACAGTCGTCATTATCCGGCCCGCAGTGTCATTGTGTGGCTCAGTGAGAGGGACGCTGAGATGCGTTCCCGCCTCTTTGATAACCCCTGCCAGGGAATCCTGGAGGCAAGGGAGCACGACCAAGGCCAATTTACAGCATGTCAACGTTGAACCGGCGCGCCCTCAGCTCGTTCCCACGTAATAACAACGCATTGCACTGTGTGTGTGTGTGTGTGTGTGTGTGTGTGTGTGTGTGTGTGTGTGTGTGTGTGTGTGTGTGTGTGTGTGTGTGTGTGTGTGTGCGTGTGTGTGGGCATACCTGGATATACACTTCCTGCATGCACCCCCATTACACGGTAACTACAAACTGCAATTCCCCTCAGAAATACTGTATGGAATTATGTATCTGAAAATGCCAGGAGACGCCGCTGGCTGAGCTGAAATGAATTCATGACTCATAAATCTAGAATTGTTTATTTTTTTCCCCCCATCACAACATATTGTATCCTCACATTCTTCCATGCCTGTCAGGTGGATTCTTCGCAATCATGCCTCGAAAGAATTCAAAACTTTGGAGGTTTGGATAAACAGATCACGTGAGGCCGCGGTGTGTGTTTTCCTTGAAATGAATAGAAATTGAATGCATCCGTTCCAGTATCCCTCCCCAAAAGACAACAGAAATGCTTGTCATGCATTTTTAGTATTGTACTTAATTCAAACATAGTCATTACATGTATTATACGTGCACACAGACACAGACACACACACAAACACACATACACATTTGTGCATGTTTTCAAAAAGAAAAATATGATAGAGAGCATTTTTCTAATGAAAATAAAACAACACAAAATGAATTCTTGGGGAAATGCTGGAACAGATGAACGGCATTTCTGTTGTTTCTAATGGGGAGTGATGATTTGCAATACCAACAGCTGCCATTGCATAACAGAAAGCGCCTTTTGCACCGGCTCCGACATATTGACACAAACGTGCAGCTCAGACGAGATCCCCTTTCACAATCTTGTGCTCAGGGCAGGCCCATGCGCGCAACAAACCCTGCCCGCCGCACACGCATGCGTGCATGCATATTTAATAGGTAGTGGGGGGAAAAAAACCCCGGAGAAGGAGAATGCAGCAGCACTCAGACAGAATCAAGTAGTGTTGTTTGTGTGGACAAAGTTCACATTCCAAGCGAACAAGTGAAAAGGTCAGCGGTGCTCCTCTGGGCGGATCAATGTGAGGAGCGGCCTGTTTGTTACACATGTATACCTTCCCATCCGTCCTTGACGCTCTGACCCGTCACTCGACCATACACTCTCTCGCGTTTCCCACGGGGCCCAGAGGAGCTAGTGGTGGTCGTGGGGAAGATGGAGTATTAGAGGAAGAGGAGATGAGGATGGATGCTTGGCTGCAAGTGTCAGAAACGATCGCAGATCCACTTGAGCGAGTTGAAAATGCTGCCAGGTTGTTTGACGTTTGGATGTCAAGCAATACGTAAATTTTTATTACCTCCAGCGTTCCAGGAGGTCATGCCCCCCACCCCCCCTCAGGATTTCTTGATCCAATAACTGGTTGCATAGAAGTTATTTAATGTGGATTTCACACAACAGGTACACACACACACCGCACCGTATGACCGGTTGACAAACCAACACACCAAACGAACAACATATCAACCACTTCACCAACAAATCAGCTGACTGCTTGGTCAGCCAACCAACCAAAGAACATGACCAAGACTGAGCCACAAAGCAACCATCCAATGAGCTAATCAACCGAACGACAAATTACTCACTTCCTGTGCCTGCAATTCAACATGTTGAGATCACCGTGACCTGGATGACTAAAAGTCTTCCCAGACCAAAGCACCCGATGACTCAAACGTCGAAGGCTGCTCTGAAATGAGCGACAAATTATGACTTTTCCCATGAGTTCGGTTCCACTTTGTACGTTTTTTTTGCTAAACTACGACAGTGGACACTCTGGTTGGATGACCTCAAAGTTCGAGCGAGGATGAAACGCTCAGGCAGAGAGGGACTCGTTGGCAGATGAGTGGAAGGGAGCCGTCGGGGTGCGCGGAGTGGAGTAGACTTCTGGAGAACGGCAAAGTGTGTGTGTGTGTGTGTGTGTGTGTGTGTGTGTGTGTGTGTGTGTGTGTGTGTGTGTGTGTCTGTGTGTGTGTCTTG